GGTGACCCAGTGTACAACAAAATGAAATGTTGCAGGGTTATGTGCCATCTTCAAAATTATTTGGCATGCTTGAGTCCATAGATATGGCCATTGTGTATTTTGAGTAACTTCCAACTTAGGAGACTCATCTTCCAGCACTTTATCGGACAATATTCTGTTGTGATCCATAGGGCTTTCACTGGTTGATTTTCACAAGTAGATCACCAGGCCTTTCTTCCTAGTCTATCTTAGTCTGGAAGCACTAATGAAACTTGTCCACCATGGGTGACCCTACTGGTATTTGAAATATTGATGGCATAGCTTCACCCAGCATTACAGCAACACACAAGCCACCACAGTATGACAAACTCACAGGTGGTGGTGAATGGACAGTGGGTGAAGTCTAATTCCCAAATTGAAAGTAGCCCACCATGCCTGAGCCCCCCCAGAGGACAGGTGTCGCGCAGTTTTCTCAGGAATGTCTTGAGGATGTCATACAGCAGCCACTGGGATACCAGAAAGCCAAGCCTATCGCTGTGCTAATATGAGCAGGTGGGGACTGAATCTCAAAACGTGGAAGGAAAAGGCTTGCCTAGGGTCACCTGAGGGGTTAGCCCCTTTATTTCCCCTTGAAAGAAGAGTAAGAATCAGTTAGGCACTTGGGGTCTTAAAAGCTTGCAAGCAGCCATTTAAACTACAACAATTGGTCTCTATTTACCTGGAGCAACAGAGGAAGAAGGAGAGTCAGGAATAGGAGGATGAAATGGAAGGTGAGGCTAATTGCCTCCATGGACAACTGCCTCCCTTGCCATGAGGCCAGAAGAACTGGATGGTGCCCAGCTACTACTACTGAATGTTTGGATCAAAGATTCTATAGAAGAATCCTAATCCAAAGGGGGAAAGTGCAGAACAGAATTTCAAATTCTCATGGACTCCAGACTTTCTGGAGCCATTGAAGCTGGTTAATGCCCTGAAACTATTACTCTGAGATAATCTTTAAACCTTAAACCAAAAATATCTCCTGAAGTTTTCTTAATACCAAACAATAGTTTAGCTTAACTAGCAAAGAATGCCTGCTTTGAGCATTACGCTCTTTTAAGAACTACCTATATAATTAAATCGACAATGCCACCTCAAAAGATTAGATAGGAAACTTAGGGGGCAGTGAGTTTATGCTAGTTGGGGAGGAACAACTCGGAAAAGGAGGGTGAGAATGGTTGCACAACTTGAAGAATGTAATCAGTGCCACTGAATTATACGTGTGGAAATTGTTGGATTGGTATATGTTCTGCTGTGCATATTCTCAACAACAACAGAATAAATAAATTTTTAAAATTTAATTAAGAACAAAAAGAATCATCCAGGCACAGAGATAGTGCTGAACTGTGCTCATTTTGTACTACGACCTGACTTCAGTTAGGTTCTGAGACGTCACAGACCAGCAGTTGAATTAGCCTTTCTGGGTCCTTAATGAAGGAGCCCTGGTGGCGTAGTAGTTAAGCGCTCGGTTGTAAACCGAAAGCACTCAGCTGGTTCAAGCCCACAAACCGCTCCGAGGGAGAAAAGAGCTGGCAATCTGCTCCCGTAAAGGTTGTTGTTGTTATTGCTGTTAGGTGCCATCAATTTGTTTCAGCTCCTAGCAACCTTAATGTATAACAGAAAAAAACATTTCCCAGTCATGCGCCATCCTCACAGTCATTGCTATGTTGCAGCCCATTGTTGTAATCTCTTTGGACATCTTACTTTACCAGGCATGATATCCGTAAAGATTACGGCCTAGAAAACCCTATGGGGCAGTCCTACTCTGTCACATGGGGTTGCCAGGAGTCAAAATCGACTGGATGACAGCTAACAACAACTAACAACTCCTTCCAAACAAGGTCACATCCACAGGTACAGAGGTTAGGGCTTCAGCATATCTTTTTGGGAGACACAATTCAACCCATAACAGGGAGGCATATAAATGGCATGAGCATTTATGAAAGATTCTATGGTTGATTTTGATTCGCGAAATTCTCTCTGAGAACCACTGGTTTACACGTACAGTCAGGAGAAGATACGCTACTCTCAGCTTCAAGAGAAGACTCCTCTTCACTTGTTTTAGGAGCAAACACTCCTGGACACAAGGTGGAGAAACTGGCTCAGTGTGAAGCAGTGGGGGCCATCAAATGGATTCTTTCTTCTTCTCTGTAAGTTTGTGGTAAAATATATATAACACAACAACTGTCGTTTCAGCCATTTTTATGCAGAAAAATGCCATTAGTGCCATTAGTTACAATCAGTATGTTGTACAAACATCACTGCTGTTTCCAAATTTTTCCCTCACCTTTAACACTCAGTGCCTCTTACGCAATACCTTCGCATTCCTCTCTCTCCCCAGCTCCTGAGTGTTATTGTTGTGTGTCCTCCAGTTGCTTCTGACTCATAGCAACCCTATATGACAGAGTAGAACTGCCTGGTAATCACTAATAAATGGTGGTCTTTATGCATTTGCCTGCTGGTGTAATGATTAAGTGCTTGGTTGCTAACCAAAAGGTTGGTGGTTTGAACCCACCCAATGGCTCCATGGGAGAAAAGACCTGGAGATCTGCTCTTGTAAAGATCACAGACTAGAAAATCTTATGGGGTAGTTCTACTGTATCACAGGGAGTTGCTATGTGTCTGATTCAACAGCACCTAACAACAACAACACGCATTTGCCTATTCTAGATATTCTGTATAAGTGGGATTATATAATATGCGTCTTTTTGTGTCTGACTTATTTCACTCAGCATAATGTTTTCAAGGTTCATTCATATTATAGTGTGAATCAGAATTTCATTTCTCATTATGGCTAAGTAATATTCCATTGTATGGATAGACCAAAATTTGTTTATCCAGTCATCTGTTGATGGACACTTGGGTTGTTCCCACCTTTTGGCTATTGTGAATAATGCCACTATGAACAATGCCACTTGTATTGGTGTATAAGTATCTGTTTGCCTCCCTGTTTTCAAGTCTTCTTCTTCTCTTAAGTGTTTCCCTTTTATTTCATTAATTTCTGTGCTGTTTGAATTCTCTAGCCATGAATGTGCTTTACTTAACTTTTTGACTATTTTTTTTTCAGTTTTATTGTAGTAAAATATAGATTACATGAAATTTGCCGTTTGGATCATTTCTTTGTAAGTGCTTTATGTTTTATGATCATGTTACACCTCTCACACATGTGTGATCATCAATTACTCAACCATCATAGGGAACATGTTACAAAAAACAATCAGAATATTGTACGTGACACTAATGGCTGCATCCATTGTTTTCGTTTATATTGGTGGTGTCAGACGTTGAAGAATTTCCTCTCACAGGCAGTCAAATTACTAGTGAAATGAGAGATGATTATAGCCTTGAAAGCTGCCACTGACCTCTCTCTCCCACCCTGATCTCCCTCTTCTATGAATTCCTATTAAACTCAGTCTGAATTGAAGGAGAAGGAGGAGGAGGAGAAGAAAGAAGGAGGAAGAATAAGAAAAGGAGAGGTGCTGGCAGAAGAAGAGAAGAAAGAAGGAGGAGGAGAAAGGAGAAGAAAGAAGGAGGAGGTGGTAGAAGACAAGAAAGAGGAGAAGAAAGAAGAAGAGGAAGAATGAAGGAGAAGGAGGAAAAAGGAGAAGAAAGACAGAGGAGGAGGAAGAAGAAAGAGGAGGAAGAGGAAAAAGGAGAAGAACAGCCACAACAAAACAACAACAAAGAAGGAGAGGGAAGGGAAAGGGGAGAAGGAGGAGGAGAAGGAGAAGATGAAGGAGGAGGCGGAAGAAGATGAAGGAGGAGGAGGAAGGGGGAATCAGCCAGGCAAAGACAGGGTCTGGGGCAAGGGGGACATTGTTACTGGTAGAGTGAGCAGTAGGTAGCATCAACCTCTCCCTCCTCTGGACTCCGTCATGCTTGTGTGACCCCCATTAGAGCACACATCATCTGCTACTGTGATCGTCTGTGTCACCCAGGGAGGGTGGGTGCTGGGTCTGATTCATGTCTGGGTGCCCAATGCCCAGCCTGGACCTTGGCGACTAGAAATCTCAAGGACATGTCTACTAAATGAAGGAAGGAATGATTCAAGAGGAACATGCTCAGCTGTCAACTCAGACAGTGGTCACTGGAACAGAGAGAAGGGGACAGAGAAGAGAGACATTTTAGGGGGAGAGGGGTGCAAACATCTCCTTCTAAATGTGGTTCATAAGGCTGCTTCTCCATGAAATTTCCCTGACCTCCCAGCCTCCTCCCCACACACGCTGGCCACCATTGCTAATTAGCCACTGCCGTTTCTGGGTGACCCATGCCCAGGCACTCTCCATGATAGCACCTTTTGTTCTAGCTAAGGGACTGGGAACCCCTGGAGGGCAGGGATGAGAGCTCCTTCTGACTGACTTGTGGATCTCTGGGCACACAGAGGGCCTCATGAAACATTTGCAGTGCCTATCTGTCTGTCCTTCTCTCACTCTCTCATCTTTCCTCCCAAAGAAGCTGAGAGCCTAGAGTCCTAGTTCCCTAGGGACTGGAAATCCTGCACTATAAAGGAAGAGAAAACTGGCCTCAGAGTACTGAGTCCCCCAAGAGGTGGGGTCAATGAAATATTATTCAGCCATGGAGAGGAATGAAGCACTGGTACATGCTACAATATGGATGAACCTTAAAAACATTATGGCCAGACACAAATGCCACATACTGTGTGATTCCATTTATCTGAAATAAGCAGAATAGGCAAATGCATAGAGACCGAAAGCAGATGAGTGATGGCCAGGGGCTGGGGGAGGGGAAATGGAGAGATATTGCTTAATGGGCGTGGGGTTTGTTTGCGGTGATGAAAAAGTTTAGGAACTAGATAAAAGGTGGTGGTTGCACAACCCTGTGAAAGTATAAATACCATTGGATTGTATACTTTAAAATGGTTTCTTTACGGGAATTTTCCCTCAAAAAAAAAAAAGAGTTGGGGTGGTGAGGAAGGAGGGGGCTGGGAGCTGGACTCCTGGGTCTGAGGGAGGAGGGGGCTGGGGGCTAGACTCCTGGTCTGAGGGAGGAAGGGGCTGGCTGTCAGGACTCCTGGGTCCTGGGGAAGGATGAGGAGGCAGGGGCCCCGACATCTGGGTACCAAGAGAGGAGGGAGCCAGAAAGTTGAGAGTTGTCATGTGGGAGAGAGAAGAGGGGTGGTCAGGGTCTGGAGGAGGATTTTCAGATGGAAAGTCATAACCAAGGACTTCCTTCCCACCCACGCCCTGCCTGTTGGGGAATTCCAGATCAAGTGGTAGAGAAGAAGAGAGAGAAGGAAGGAAAGTGGAGGGGAGAAGGTCCGCCAGTGCCCCCCACACTCAGGAGCCTAAAGCCAGAAACTGCCCCCAGAGAGGAAGGAGACAGACCTGAGGGCCTGGATTCTTGCGTTCTGAGGAGGTAAGAGCTAGGAGGTTGGACCCCAAGGGCTAGGAATGAATGCACATATTCTAGAAGGGACTGGGGGTTCAGATTCCTGGGTCCTAAGAAAGGAGAGCACTGAGGGCCTGGACTTCTGAGATAAATGGACAAGGGGGTCAGGAGCCCACATTCCTGGATCCCCAAGGAACAAGAGGGCTGGGGACTCAGATGCCTGGGCCCTGAGGGAAGAAAGGTGGAGAGAGCTGGAGGCTAGCATTCCTGGGTTCCGGGGAGAGGATAAGGCTGGGAATTTGGATGTTGAACCCACAAAACTAGAGGAAGTCAGCCTCTCCCCTAAGCTAAGGTGCTGACTGGTTAGTCCTGAGGAGAGAGGTTTGGGGGTAAGGTCTTGGAGAAAGTGGCAGTCAGACTCAGGGCCTTAGACTCCAGGGTGGACTTTGCCTCTTTGGGACTTCAGCAGCCCGGCCTGGCCCAGCCCCACCCCACATCCCGACTTCTTTCCCCTCCCCCTGACCCCGAACCTCTCAGCCAGTCCCTGTCCTAGGACAGGGCCAGAGGCTGGGAAGGCACAGGGAAGAAGCTGGTTGAGATTCAGAGAACCCAGGTGAGTAGGGGAACTGGGAGATATACATTTCTGGAGGAGAACGAGAACCATAAAGAACTTGGGTGGGGTTGGGGGGAGGAGCTGAAGGAAACTTCAAAGACTATGAGGCACAGGAGAAGTTGGGACAGCAAGGAGGAAGGTGTTATGGATTGAATTGTATCCTGCAAAATTATGTATTGTGAATCCTAACCTCTACGCCTGTGGTTATAATCCCATTTGAGAATGGGTTGTCTTTTGTTATGTTAAAGACACAGGATTAGTGCAGGGTGTGTCTTCAGTCAATCTCTTGAAACGAAGAGATTAAACAAGCAAGCAAGCAGAGATGTGGGAAGATAGATCCCAAGTCACGTGAAGACCACTGAAGAACAGAAGCTCGAGAGACAAGGACCTTCTTCCAGAGCCTCCAGAGAGAGAAAGCCTTCCCCTAGAGCCAGTGGAACCCTGGTGGCGCAGTGGTTAAACTTTTGGTTGCTAACCACAGGCCGGCAGTTCAACTCTACCAGCTGCTCCTTGGAAACCCTGTGGGGCAGTTCTACTCTGTCCTATTGGGTCACTATGAGTTGGAGTCAACTAGATGGCAACAGGTTTTTTTTTTTTTAAACTGTGAGAAAATAAATTTCTGTTTATTAAAGCCACCCACTTGTGGTATTTCTGCTATAGCAGCACTAAAAAAAAAAAAAAAAAAATAGCAGCACTAGATAAAAGAATTGCAAAACTAGAAGAAGCTGGGAGATTAGGATTGTGAGACTGGGAAAGATAGGAAAGAGCTGAGAGCTTCCTGATCAGATTGGACCCCCGCCCCGACTCTGGCCTGGGAGCCAACGGGGCCTCTGAAGTGGGCGGCCACAACCCAGTGCACCTGGACCCTGAGGGCTGGCCAGCTAGCCACTTGGCCACCGGTGAGGGGTTCTAGTGCCCAGCGGCCGAAGCCTAGCCCCTCTCCTTCTACTACAGAGCCCAGGATGTGGGGCTACCTGTCCCTTCTGCCTGCCTTCCTGGCCCTCTGGGCTGTCGCTGGCATCTGGACCGTGTGAGTATCTGTGGCAGGATAGGAGCTTGCATTTGAGGGAGGAGGGAACGGGGGGGTTCAGGACTCCTGGGTCTGAGGGAGGAGGGGTTAGGGGCCTGGACTCCTGGGTCTGACAGAGAAGGGGCTGGGGACCTGGACTCCCGGGTCTGAGGGCAGACGGGCTGGGGGCCTGGGGGCCTGGACTTTTCTGGTCTGAGGATGGAGGGGCTGAGAGCCTGGACTTCTGGGCCCCCAGAGGGTGGTTAACAAAAGGAAAAGTTGGGTTGAAAGGTCCCCTACTCACTTTTATGTCTTTCCTGCCTCAGTTTCGCGCTGGCAGTAGCTAACAAATCTGTGAACCTCAACGAAGGCTTCCCCTACATCAGGTAGTTATGATGAAGCCCTGGTTTGTGAGGTATGAATGGCGAGGCGACCTTGCTCTGAGGAGTGATGGATGGCCCTTTATCTTCCCTAGTTTCTGTGGATCTTACCCGCCTCAGAGCTGCATCTTCAGCCAGCTGCTCAATATGGGGGCTGCACTGGGTAAATATTTCCCAGCTCTTAATGCTTATTGCTGGCTCCAGCCCCCTCCACCATCGGACCCAGGATCCCAGGATCCTCCTTCAGATCCTGGACTCCAGCATCTCCTCTCCCAGACCTAAAAGTCCTGCTCCAGCCCCATCTCCTCTCAAAAATCCAGTCTCTAGCCCCCTCATTTCCAAGAATCCGGGAGTTTTAGCCCCCACCCTTTGCCCCACCTCTGAAGTCCCGGGCCTGGTCTCCTGCCCACCTCCCTCTTCTCCCAGCCGCCTGGATCTGCATTCTCCGTTACCACCAGCTCCGGGACTGGGGAGTCACAAGGAGGTTTAATCAGCTGATCCTGTGGACGGGGCTCCTCTGTGCCTTCGGCACTTCGGTGGTCGGCAATTTCCAGGTGAGACCGAGTGCTGCCCGTGTGAGGCACTTTGTATAACTAACCTGGTTGACTCTGGGAGGTTGGGATAATTTTCTGCTGTCTCCCTTCTTTAATGATGAAATTACAGAGGCTCACTCATTCTTAATGTTTGGCACAGAAATATTAATAACAGCTCCTTTGATTGAGCTGTCCACCCTGTAGGAAGCACTAGGCTTTAACACCAGGTATTTCACTCCAAATCCACAAGAACTCTATGATATGTTCTTCTCTTGGCCATAGCTTACAGAGAGGTTTTTTTGTTTGTTTTTTTAAATATTCCCCATGGAGGCAGTGGTGGTTCAGTGGTAGAATTCTCGCCTTCCATGAGGGAGACAGGGGTTCAGTTCCCAGCCAGTGCAGCTCACATGCAGCCACCACACATCTGTCAGTGAGGCTTGCTTGATGCTGTGATGCTGGACAGGTTTTGACAGAGCTTCCAGACTAAGATGGAGTAGGAAGCAAGGCCTGGAGATCTACATCTGAAAATCAGCTAGTAAAAACCCAATAGATCACATTGGTCTGATGCCCAACCAATCATAGGAATCACTGTGAGTCAGGGTAACTCAGTGGCAGCTGGCAATGACACAGAGACTCCAGGACCCATGTTCTTACACATTCTTGACCATGAAACTGGTAGACACTTGTAGAATAAATGAATAGACAAATGATAGGAGAAATACTGCTGATTTATTGTATGTTGTCATTTTTATCATGCTGTTTCTGATGCTAAGCTTCTCTCCTTGAAGAAATAAAGGATAGGGAGACTGCAGGGTGACAAGAGGCTGCCTCCAGCTTGTTAACTAAAATTCCCCATTTCATTTGTACAGCAATTCATTCACTCATTCATTTATTTAGTTTATTCCAGTGTTTCTGAATCTTTTTATTCTCATTGTTGTTATTGTTTGGTGCTGTCGATTTCAACTCACAGTGACCTTACAGGACAGAGTAGAACTGCCTCATAGGGTTTCCTAGGCTGTAAGATTTATGGAAGCAGATTGCCAGGTCTTTCACCCACAGAATCACTGGGTGGGTTCAAACCGTCAACCTTTCTGTTAGCAGCTGAATGCTTAACCACTATGCCACCGGGCTCCTTTATTTTTATTATTGCCCCCCTTAAGGAGTCTATTAGGAGCCCTGGTGGCACAGTAGTTAAGAGCTCGACTGCTAACCAAAAGGTTGGCAGTTCGAATCCACCAGCCGCTCCAGCTGTTCCTCGGAAACCCTATGGGGCAGTTCTACTCTGTCCTATAGGGTTGCTATGAGTTGGAATCAACTCGATGGCAACGGGTTTGGTTTTTTTTTTTTTTTCTGGTAAGGAACCTATTAAGATATTTATTTCCATAGCATCTCTTCCCCCTATAAAACTTTAATATTGAAAAAATTTAATATAAGATATATCATACATCTGTTCACAAACCATCTTAACAGCTAAGATTTTTTTTCACCACCCACCCCTTCCCGGCCCTAGATCCAATTTTCACTCCTTTGAGGGCAATAATTGTCCCTGTTGAGAATGCATAATTTATTCCACTCATAATTATTGAGCATCTACTATGTGCCAGGCACTGTTCTCAGGGATTGAGGCTACAGCAGTGAACACCAAAACCAAAAACTGTTGCCATTGAGTTGATTCCAACTCATAGCAACCCTATAGGACAGAGTAGAACTGCACCACAGGGTTTCCAAGGCGGTAATCTTTATGGAAGCAGATCGCCAGGTCTTTCTCCTGCAGAGTGGCTAGTGGGTTTGAACCAATGACCTTTCAGTTAGCAGCTGAGTGCTTAACCCCCTGCACCACCAGGGCTCCTATAGCAATGAACAACAGACTTGAATCCCTGCCCTTATGGAGCTGACATAGCCAATGAACATAATACGTTGATCACTTGGTACGGCAGTTTTCCATCACAGTCTATTGGGTTGGTAAATGGTCCCTCACCTCCCACAGTCTTCCTCTCAACTCTTTTCCCTTCTCCTCCACCAGGAAAAGAATCAGCAGCCCACCCATCTCACAGGTGCCTTCCTCGCCTTCTTCGTGGGCATTCTCTATTTCTGGCTGCAGCTGCTCCTTTACTGGTGGAAGAAGAATCTGCCCCAGCCTGGGTCCCCCTGGATTGGGCCGCTCCGCCTGGGCCTCTGCACCATCTGCACCATCCTCATGGTAGCCAGTATCCTTATGGGGCTGGGAACAGGGGTCAGGGGCAGCTCTCCACTGGGTCAGTCTCCCATGCCTTTGCTGGGTGCCATCTTCCTTTCTCTAGGCCTCAGTCTCCATGCACGTATGATTATAGCATAGTAGTCAAGAGTGTTGAAGTCCCTGGGTGTTGCAAATGATTAAGCACCTCAACTACTAGCTACTTAGCATATATTATCAGGAGGGACCAATCCCTGGAGAAGGACATCATGCTTGGTAAAGTAGAGGGTCAGTGAAAAAGAGGAAGACCCTCATTGAGAAGGATTGACACAGTCAGTGGCTGTAACAATGGGCTCAACTATAGCAAGGATTGTAAGGATGGTGCAGGATGAGGCAATGTTTCATTCAGTTGTACATAGGGTGCTATGAGTCAGAACCAACTCAACGGTACCTAACAACAACACAAACCAAAAGGTTGGCTGTTAAAACTCACCCAGAGGTGCCTTGGAAGACAAGCCTGGCGGTCTGCTTACAAAAGGTCACAGCCTTGAAAATCCTATGGAGCAGTTGTACTCTGGAACACATGGGGTCGCCATGAGTTGGAACCGACTTGACAGCAACTAAAAACAATAGCAAAGTCAAGAGTGCTGGCTCTGGGGTCAGGCTGCCTGGGTTGGAATCCCATCTCCTCCACATACTAACTGGGGAAATCTTCAGCTGGTTTCTTAACTTCTTGGTGCCTTGGTTTCATCGATCAAATGTGGATTGTAACAGAGCTGATCCCAGGGTCTTAAGGAGTAAATGAGACAATATGTGTGAGGTGCTTAGGTTGCTGCATGGCACATAGCGAGCAATCAATAAATATTGGGATGATGATAGTACTAATGACAGCAGGCATCATGCCTGCTGATTAAAAGATTGGAAACTGAAGTTTAGACAGGGGAAGTCTCTTGGCTTAGACCCATCATGAAGTTCAGTGGTGGAGCCAATGGTAGGCTGAAGGTGGCTTGCACTGGTTTGCAAGAACCACTTGTACACATCTTTTCCATGTTCAGGGATATCATGTTAACAAGTTGCCATCAAGTGGATTGCAACTCATCGACCCCATGGGAGTCAGAGTAGAACTGTACTCCATGGGGTTTTCAGTGGCTGACTTTTTTGGAAGTAGATTATCTGGCCTTTCTTCCAAGGGTCCTCTGGATGGACTTGAATCTCCAGTCTTTTCGTTAGCATTCCAGTGAGTTAACTGTTTATACCACCCAGGGACTCCAATGTCAACATTATTGTTGTTAGTGGCCATTAAGTCAATTCTGACTCATGGTGACCCCATGTTACAGAGTAGAACTCTGCTCCGTAGGGTTTTCTTGGCTGTAATCTTTATGGAAGCAGATCACTAGGCCTTTTCTTCCATGGTATCATTGGGTAGGTTCGAACCGCCAACCTTTAGGTTAGCAGTTGAGTGTAAATGGTTTGCACCACCCAGGAACCTCCTGATGTCACGTTAGTAGCTTGACATCAGCTATGGTGGGAGTATTTACACCATGGAAACCGGCACATGCTACAAATCAGGGCTTTTTTATTTTCTGGGAGAGCTGGTTGTTAAACATTCACCAGCACACCCCTGGGTGGAGCCTCAATTCCAACCTGAGTCTGACTCACCCCAGAGCGCAGATGATCCCCAATACCTATAGGTGAGTCAGGTCACTTTCTGAGCCTCAGTTTCCACATCTGTAAAATGGGGCCCGCATACACCACTCAAAAGAAAAAAAGTTAACTGCTTTTATCATTGGAGCCAACATAGACAATAAACATAATAAATTGATTATTGCTGAGATGTAGAGTGCTCTGAAAGGGATGAGGGCTGAAGACTCAGCCTTGGGGACCACTCCCATTTGTGGGGAGGATGGAAGGGGAGGCAGAGAAGGCACTGGCTTTCAGAAGAGGCTGAAGGAAAGCCAAAGCTAAGGTCCAGTGCTAGCTGAATCAAGTGGCTCAGTTTATTCTGAAATTTCCCGGAAAAATGGAGATGGCGATCCCATTTCCTAGAGCGGCCAACTGAGTCCCACAGAGTAGGTGGGAAGGCTAGATGGGAACCCAGGTTTTCTGACTCCTGGGCTCAGCATATATCCCCTGGGCGGGAGGTGGGGAGTAGATTTCATCTTAGCGAAAGCTCCACCTGCTTCTCTTTATGGGGGGTGAGGTGGGGTGGGGGTCATAAAAACTGCTAGCTGAGTGTGGTAAGATTAGAGAATGTTCTCTAAAAGGAAAAGCCTGGTACCTGGTGGATTCAGAGCTTTGTCTTGAAGATCCAGCTGCTTTTGGCCTGGGTTGGGAGGCTGAGAAGGAGCCCTGGTGGTGTGGTGGTTAAGAGCGCGACTGCTAACTGAAAGGTCGGCAGTTTGAATCCACCAGCCGCTCCTCAGGAGAAATATGTGGCCGTCTGCTTCCGTAAAGATTACCGCCTTGAAAACCTTATGGGGCAGTTATACTCTGTCCTGTAGGGTCACTATGAGTTGGAATTGACTTGACAGCAATGGGTTTGGTTTACGAGGTTGGGGGGGGGGCACGGGACACAGCAGGTGTGTGTTGAGGGTGGAAAAACGGGCTGGGGTGGGGGAAGATGAGGCTGTAGGCAGGGCAAGACTGAGGGTCTCCAGTGCTGAGGTGAGAGGTCTGGGTTTCTGCCTGGGGGTAATAGGGACCATGGAAAGCTTGAAAGCAGGGGAGGAACAGGGTCAGTTCTTGTGAGTTGCATTTGAGCACTTATGCATCTCCCTTGTTGTGAGATCTATGGGGTCAAGATGGTGTCTGCCTGAGTCACTGCCTATCCCCACTGCCAGGTCGCTGGGTGGTGCAAACAGTTTGCGCTTGGCTACTAACTGAAAGGTTGGCAGTTTGAATTCACCTAGCAGTGCCAGAAACCCTGGCGGTGTAGTGGTTAAGAGCTACATTTGCTAGCCAAAAGGTTGGCAGTTCAAATCCACCAGGTGTTCCTTGGAAAATCTATGGGGTGGTTCTACCCTGTCCTATAGGGTCATCATGAGTCAGAATCAACTTGACAGCAATAGGTTTTTTTTTTTTTTTGTGGTGTCAGGGAAGAAAAGGCCTGGTGATCTACTTCTGAAAGATCCTAACCATCGAAAATCCTATGAAGTGCAGTTATACTCTTAAACAGGGAGTCAGCATGAGCCAAGAGTCAACTCCATGGCAATTGCGGGGGTATCCCTACTGCCTGGCCCAGAAACCAGTAAAAACCAGGTGCCATCGAGTAGACTCTGACTCATGGTGACTCCCTCTGTCAGAGTAGAACCATACTCCATAGGGTTTTCAATGGCTGATTTTTCAGAAGCAGATCACCAGGCCTTTCTTTTGAGGTGCCTCTGGGTGAACTCGAACCTCCAACCTTTTGGTTTGCAGCCAAGTACCTTAAGTGTTTGCACCACTCGGGGAGACTCCCCCAGCATATGAGGAGCACAGAAATATTTGTGCGAATGAGATAATATTTAGACTGATCCAAGAGGGGTGAGTTGGAGCCATCTTGGCTGGGGGGGTGGGGGGATGCTTCAATGGGAGGGGCTCCAGAAAATGAGAACCATCTCTGCCAGGCTGGAGCTTGGAGTGTGTGTGGGTGGTGTAGGAAGAGGTTTTAAGAAACTTGGACTGGTTCCTAAGGGTGCCAGGGAACCAAAGAAGGGACAGGAACAGACCAGTTGGGAGTGATACAGGGCCAGGGAGGTGGTGGGCAGGATCAACCGGGTGAAAACCAAACCCACTGCTGTCGAGTCAATTTCAACTCCTAGCAACCCTATATGACAGAGGAGTACTGCCCCATAGGGTTTCCAAGGAGCAGCTGGTGGATTCGAACTGCTGACCTTTTGGTTGGCAGCCAAGCTCTTAACCGCTATGCCACCAGGGCTTCTAAACCAAGTGAGTGGGGCTCAAAAGGGACAGGTAGGGCAAGTAGACAAGACTTGAAGTACAAGGAGGAGGGGAGGAGGAGGGAGGATGCAAAGGGGGCTCCCAAGTGTCTACTTTGGTGCATGAGTGGTTGCTGGAGCTGTCACAGAGGTGGGGACCCCCAGAAAAAGGAAGATTTTAGGAGGAAAAGATTCAATCCCATCTGGGGACACGGAGGAGGGCCCCGTGGGCCCTGGGTTGTTGTTAGTTACTGTTAAGTCGATTCAGACTCAGGGCAACACTATGTGTGTAGAGCAGAATGGCTCCATAGGGTTTTCAGTGGCTGACTTTTTGGAAGATGATCACCAGCCCTCTCTTCTGTGGCACCTCTGGTGGACTCAAACCCCCAACCTTTCAGTTAACAGCAAAGCAGTTAACCATATGCACCACCCAGGGACTCCAGCTCATTAAACCACCCATTAATGCCATATGGAAGGTAATGTTCTTCCCAGTTTCCAAAAACCAAACCAGCTGCCATCGAGTCGATGCTGACTCATGGTGACCCCATGTGTGCAGAGTAGAAGTACTCCATTGGGTTTTCAAGGCTGTGACCTTACGAAAGCAGATCACCAGCTCTGTCTTCCCAGGCGCCTCTGGGTGGGTTCAAACCACCAACCTTTCATCTAGTAGTGGAGCGCTGAATTGGAAATGTTTGCGCCACCTGTTGCGAGTTTGGCCCGAGGCCCGGGGGCATCTTTTGGAAACCCTGCCTATTTTGCAGTGGAAGCACTGGTGCTGGCTGTCTGGCCTGGACCACTGGAGAGATGGCAGAGCCTCTGCCTGGTCATGGAAGAAGGCCCAGGGAAAGATAAAGAGCTTGGTATGGGAAATGGGAATGGGATACTAATGGGAGGTCCATGCAAGGGGATACAAGCTTGAGATAGAGATTCAACCACTTCAGAGATAAGGCTAAAATCTCCGCAGGAATGTGTCCCCTGTGAAGGCAGATAAGGATGGTGGCCTACAGGGTCATTCCAGCTAGGGCAGGACTTGTGACAAAACAAAGAAAGTTGTCAATCAAGTTGATTATGACTCATGGAAACCGCATGTGTGCAGAGTAGAATTGCTCCATAGGGTTTTCAAGGCTGTGACCTGACTTCTGAGGCACCTCTGGGTGGGTCTGAACCACCACACTTTTGGCTAGTAGTTGAGTGCTTAACTGTTTGCACCACTTAAGAACCTAGGGTCTTCAATGGCTGATTTTTCGGAAGTAGATACCCAGGCCTTTCTTCCAAGATGTGTCTGGGTGGACTGGAACCTCCGGCCTTTGGGTTTGCAGCAGAGCGCGTGAGCTGTGTGCACCACCCAGGGATTCCTTTGGTTAGGGCAGAGAGAACATACGGTGAGAGGGTACCCAGAGAGGCCTCAGTCCTGCCCAAGGTCACATAGTACTCAAGCTGGGCCCTGCTCCTCTGGGCGTGGTGTGTGGGGGGCACTGCTCTCTGTCCACTCAGGCCCTTGACCCTGGTGTAAAGTGGTCGTCCTCCATTCCTGGGTGCCACTGCGTTCTGCCTCTGCGTCCTGCGAATGGGCCGTGGCCATGCTGCTGTTCACTCTCTTTGGCCTCTTATCTGTTGACTTCTCCTGCTTGGACAGCTGCACCCTGTGTCTTCAGGCGGCCCCTGGCCTCAGCCCTCCACCGCCGCTGGCCTCCACCAGCCCTGTGCAGATCCAGCTGTCCCAGGGGCTGTGACTGGGGCCTTTACCAGCAACCGAGGAAGAAAAGAAAGAGGAGCCCAATCCCAGGTCTTCCCTATGAGCCAATGGGGAAGCTGTCCATCTGGCTGGGGAGAGGGAGACTGTTGCTGACCATTACCTGTTCCCGGCCCTGGAGCTGAATGGATGTGTGTGGGGCTGTGGACAACCGGTTACAGAGGCTAAGACTTAGCATGGCCCTCTTACTGCCACCAGGGCCAAGGGGCATCCAGGACAGCCTGCAGCCAGGAAGCGAGAGCCCAAGGCCAGCCGGCAATCCCTGATCAAGGTTATTTATTTTTTTTGCCACCGGCGGAATCAGAGACAAGGACGCAGGCAGGATCACGCAAAACCAGAATTCCTTCCGGAGAGCAAATCCGTACAGAACGTCATCAGGGGGTGGGGGGATGTTGGGAAGGGGAGGACCAGGGGTGGGGGTGAGGAGCCAGGGGTCCTGGGAAGGGGGGAGTTGGGGACACAGGGACAGACAGCCCTGTCCGGATCTGCTAAGCCACCCCAACCAGCTCCCGTCCCTCCCCCCCACAACCCCGCAGAGAGATTGATCAATAAATAAAATAATAATAAATTAATCAATAAATAAAATAGAAACAGCTCCCCCATACCCAGTTCCCCCTAGTTCCCCCCCATTGGGCACGGCCTCTTGAGCCCCATCCCCGCAGGGCAAGGCCGGATTTTGTGTCCCCCCCCCAATTACTCCTTGGGCCCTATTTACAGATTCACAGTTGGGGGGCAGGGGGGGGGGGTGAAGGGGGCTCCCCTCCCTCCCTGGCCCCCTGGGGTCAGGGCAAAGGGGTTCCATTGGTAGCCAGGAGCTTCTTGTCCTTGGGGGGGCCTCGACGGGGAGAGCCACTGAGCTCTGGATCTGGGCGGCCGGGCGGGGGCTGCAGGCTTCGGGGTGGGGTACCCGCAGGGCGGGTCTGGGCACCGTTCTTCTCATCTGTGAGGGAGGAAGAGGTTTTGGGTGGGTCCCAGGACTGCAAAGCCCAAGACTGAGATTCCCACTATTGGGGAGGCACGGGGGGGTTCCCTTATTAGTTGGCCTTGGTATCCCCAAGGCCATACAAACCCAGGGAACGTGCTCTAGCAACAATCCTGGTGAGGGCTTGTCTCCCATTACAGGGCTTGAAACATCAGGAGCCCACTGCTATGGGGACACACCCTAGTAACAAGGTCTGGCTTCCCTAGAAAAAGGGCCTACACCCTAAGCCCCCTCTAACCTTTGTGGCTTTGGAAACAAGGCCGAGTTAGACCAAGTGGGACTTGGGCTGTGCCTGACTTCAGGAGAAAGTTTCAGGGACTCCGGTTCCAAAAAATACTATTTGCTAAGGGACAGCTTGTAGTGGCAACAGATAAGGCTCAAGTCCCACAGATCACAGATAGAGGACTCACCTTATCTTCTACTACCCTGGTTGTTAGGGGGGCATTTCTTGCTAGTTGTTGGGGTCTTGGGCCCTCCCACGTGGGCCTGACAGGCTTGCCTGCCTGACCTGGGTCTCTCTTTTGCGGGGCCCAACTTCCTCAAACTGAGACCACTTCCTCTTAGGGACCATGGTTGCAACACTGGTTGCCAGTGGCCTTCCAGGAATTTTCACAGGGCCTAACCATTAACTGAGACCCCTGGCAGAGACCCAGCCTCATTAAGAGACACTGATTGCCAGAGGCCATATTGGCATAGGGACCAATAATGATGGACTCTTTCCGGGGCAAAGTCTGGGGTCCCCCATCCCCATTTCTTTATAAAGGGGAAGGAAGTTGCATAAGAAGGCCCAATGTGCCTACTGGTCCTAGATCTTAGCGGTTGTGCCCTTTCGGGATCCCTGGTTGCTAAGGCCAGGTTTCCTTGGCAACAGGGTCTAGAAAAGTTCAGGGTGCCTAATGGCTTTCCTAGTGAAGTCTAACCAAGCTGAACTCCTCCAAAGTAGGCTCTCTCCACCTTGGCACCACTGCCATTTGGGGCCAGATAACTCTTTGTAGAAGGAGCCCTGGTGATGCAATGGTTAAGTGCTCAGCTGCTAATCGAAAGGTTGGTAATTTGAATGAGAAAGATGTGGCAGTTTGCATCCATAAAGATTTTGGCCTTGGAAACCTTTCTACTGTCCTACAGGGTCACTATGAATCAGAATTGACTCAACAGCACACAACAACAACCTTCTAGATGCCAGTAGCCTTCCCTAGGCCCCCCTTCCCAGTTGGGAAAGCCAAAAATGTCTCCAGACATTGCCATATGTCCCTTGGGGGGTTGTGGTAGGATGAATAACACCCCCCAAAAATGATGTCCCCAAACCCTCAGAACCTGTGAATATGTTATGTTATATGGAAAGAGGGAGCCTGCAGATGTGACTAAGGTTAAGGACCTTGAGATGGAGAAAGAGTATCTTGGATTACCTGGGTGGGCCCAGCCTAATCAAAAACCAACCTACTGCCGTGGAGTCGATTCCGACTCAATAGCAACCCTCTAGGTCAGAGGAGAACTGCCCCACATGGTTTCCTAGGCTCTGATCTTTATGGAAGCAGATTGCCACATCTTTCTCCTGCAGACTGGCTGCTGGGTGTGAACCGCTGACCTTTTGGTTAGTTGCTGAGTGCTTAACCAGTGCACCACCAGGACTCCTTACAACCTAATCAGAGATGTCCTTAAAGGAACTTTTCTCGGCCAAGGTCAGGGTGAGAGAGAGATGTGACTACAGAATGACGGTCAGAGAGAAACAGTGTTGCTGGCTTTGAAGACGGAGGAAGAGGCTGAGAGCCAAGGAATGTGGGTGGCCTCTAGAAGCTGGAAAAGGCAAGGAAATGGATTCTCCTGTACATGTTTCTTCATTTGTATCCTTTTTGGTTGTAATAAAGTGGTAGCCATAAGTATGGTGTACTCTCCATGAGATTCTGTGAGTCGTTCCAGTGAATTAAGAAACCCACAGGGGCAGTGAGAGCCAGCAGGGGCTGGCATCTGCCTGTTTGGCACTCTGAAGGAAGGTATCCTTCTAACGTGTGAGCTCTGGCCTGAGAGAGACTGCCATGGTGATGAAGACATAGGAGTGGGAAAGTGAGGACTGGACCCAATTCCATACTATGGAGATTGGCTTCATGCTGATCCTTATCATACAGTTAGCAATGAAGGTGGGAGTTGTCCACTGTGCCCCTTGTTTAGTGCGGGAAGGGGCCACCACGTCTCAGGAGTGGGGTCTGCTCAAGGCCCTTCAAGGGCTGTTTTTCTGAGCAGAATGTCTCTTCACTTAGGAGCACCGGTTGCTAGCTCTGGCATGTCTTAGCAACAGACCCTGCTGAGGCCCGCCATCTGCTGTTTCCTGGTTGCTGGGGAATCCCACTCCCTAACAACCATCGCTGGTGTGGCCAGGGAAGTCCCTTCCTTGGACACAGTCCATGCACGTTCTCGGCAAATTCAGCTTACAACACGGTAGCTAGGGACCCCTAGGACCTAGCAACAAGGCCAGGTGAGACTTGGGTTCTTGAAAACCAAGCCTAGCAGGGCCGGTGAAGGTGGCGTCCTGTAGATAAGGGAACCAACTCATCCCGCTTTGCCTGGGACTGTCCTCATTTTAACACTGAAAGTTCCACATCCCGGAAATGCCCTCAGTCCCACCAGCCTCTTCAGAAGAGAAGTCTGGAACCTGCTGGAAGGTAGTTCCACTACCCTCAATATAATGACTGTTGTCCTCTCAGGGACCCCTGCTAGAAGGCAAAGGTTGGTTTTTACATTGCTGGGGGGCCCATCCTTAGTAATGAGGCCCATGCAGGCCCTGGATAGCCTGGTTCCCACTGAGCTCTGACCTCAACATTTCACACACCAGCTCACAAACAACACTGCAGGTGAGGCCTCAGCAAGACAACCACAAAGGAGCCTGTTACAGGATGAGTCATGTCCCCTAAAAAGATATGTTCAAGTCCTGACTTCCCCTGCCCCATACATGTGAACATGACCTTGTTTGAAAACAGGGTCTTTGCAAATGTAATTGAGTTAAGATGAGATCCTTAGAGTGGGCACTAATTCAATATGTTGTTTTTGCTGTTGCTAGTTGCTGTCGAGTCGATTCTGACTTATGGTAACCCCATGCCCCAGGTGTGCTGAGTGGAACTGCTCCATAGGGTTTTCAAGGCTGTGACCTTTTGGAAGCAGATCACCAGGGCTTACTTCTGAGGTGCCTCTGGGTGGGTCTGAACCGCTAACATTTTGGTTAGTAGTCCAGCGCTTAACCATTTGTGCCACCCAGGGACTTCTAATCCAATATGACTGGTATCTTTATAAAGAGAGAAGAAGAGACACAGACACACAGGAAGAAGGATAGGTGAAGACGGAGGCAGAAATTGGAGTGATGCATCCGCAAGCCAAGGATTGCCAGCAACACCAGAAGCTAACAGGGAAACATGGAAGAGACTCTCCCCTACAACCTTCAGAGGGAGCATGGCCCTGCTGACACTTTATCTTTGTACTTCCAGCCTCCAGAACTGGGAGAGAATACATTTCTATTGTTGTAAGCCACCCAGTTTGTGGTATGCTGTTACAGCAGCCCTAGGATACTCATACAGAACCCACAAGTGGGCCTGGCTTCCCCACAGCAGAAGCCTCACCCCAAAGCAAACCCCTGGAGGACCTAGTCATGGAGAGGCAGCACCCCCAGAAGTCTCCCTCACGCATGGGACAGGAGAGAGCAACGTTGCCCACAGCCACTGCCACCCACCTGCTAGGGCCTGCACGGAGGGCTGGTCGTGAGTGCTTAGCAGCTGTGCCTGGATGGTCTCCACCACGCGCTTGAACCGACGGCTGGGACCTGCAGGGTGAGAAGGCAGGGAGACAGACTGACTGGGGGGATGCGGACAGGAAGGCCCCTCCCACCTGCGGTACCCAGTCCCTCAAAAAACCAGTGACTTTCCTCCTCTGCATCCCAGTGCTCCCCCTCTATTGGGGAAAGGATAAATCCAGGGATTACAAATGAGACTCTGTGTTGCTGTTTATGGAACATCATCATGGGTCGATAACACATGTCCCCAAAAGATATGCTGACACTGTAACTCCTGGTACCTGTGAATGTGACCTCTTTTTGTAAAGACGGTCTTTGCAGATATAATTAGTTAACATGAGGTCATAATGGAGTAGGTTGGGTCCTAATCCAATATGACTGGTGTGCTTATACGAAGAGGGCAAACACAGAGGCACAGAGGGAAGATGGCCCT